GTGATACTGTTGTATAAAGCAGAGTAAAAGGAAACTGAACTGGCAGAAGCATACAATTTGATAGCGATAAAGTTACAGTAGTTAAGTATTAGAGATTATACAATAATAGAAATGGCAACAAAGTTGTGATTTTCATGAGTTCAGAGAAAGTCTAACAAACTATGCATTGTAGGTGAAAGAACTGGCCAGAGATGAAAAAAGCTATTCTGAGGATGCAAAATCTTTGTGGTGCATGGAGAGCAGTTGACTCAGAATTAAGGTGGTTTGTTTCAAATTATGCATCTTCTTTAAGCTGTTACTAAAATGTGTGACTGTTACTTAGAGCGCTCGAAGTACTTATACAGAATTGCTATAAATTTATATAAAACATAGGACTGTAAAAAACTACTTTGGTCACTCCCTGTGGTTCCCCACAATTGCAGGCAACTGTGAAATAATGCCTGCTCCATTTCAGCCTCTGGAACAAACTAGAAAACCACAAAACATTTTTTTCAGTATCCTGTAAAAAACTAAAGGTGATGTAGTACACGAGACCAAAGTGCATGCTGGAAACTAAAGCATGTCATAAGAAAAAAACAAGAAAGATTGAGGATACCACCAGTATTTTAGTTGCCTACAGATCCTAACTCCACTGCAAATCATTGTTTTGAAACCAAGCACATAGGCAAATGGAGGCACAGAAGCTTCTGGGTTGTGCATCTCATATACTTCCTGCTACTGCATCACTCCCTGTGACCGATTTCTGATGATTCAAAGGCAAACCCTCTCCACCATGTCACCAAATATCAATTAAGTATGAAGAAGAGAAAAATAGTTGTTGTGGCATAATGCAATGACTACACCATAGTGAAGATGTTTTGCCTTTGAAGCCAAAATAACATCAATTAGGTCATTCTCATATGAGGAATTCTCATAAGAATCAGCTTAGCTACATGGCAGCATATACTGTACCTTTACTGTGCTTTAAAAACAAACAAAAAAACACACCCCCAAAAAAACCAAAGAAAAAACCCCAAGCAAACAAACAAACCAACCAAACAAACAAAACCCCAAACAAACTAAAAAGAAGAAAAAACACACAAAACCAAACCCAAACCAAAAAGCTAGAAAGCAACAGCTGGTCACAGTTTGCACAGCTGGACACTAGACTAAGTGAAGAGAGAAAATGGTCACCGATAGTTTAGAACTTAGTCTCACTTTCTCTGGGAAGTGTCTGGAGATGTTTGTGTCTCATGCATACCATCATACCTATGGAAGCTATTCTTCAGAAGAAAAATACAAAATAGTGACAAAATAATCAGGGCAACACCAGGAGATTACTTTTTAAGAATATCCATGAAGACTGTAACCACAGCTCTTAAATCTGTTATTCACAGGTATGCCAAGCTGGTCACAAGGTCTTCCCTCAGTATGTTTAACGGTCAGCTAATAATATGTTGAAAACCAGGTATTTCACTTCAACCTCTTCATACAAGTGGCTAAACATAAATTGTTTCCACCAAGTTAGTTAATTTTATTTCATGGTTGTGATTTATTTTTTTTTTCCCTTGCAGTGCCAATCTTTTTCTTCCACTGCTATGGTCTTGCTCCTTAGTTGTTTTCTGTGTTTCTGTAGTTGGGAAGAGACAATGTGTGCTCTGGGTGATGAGTATTTTAGTGTTCCAAGGAACCGGATGATCTTTAAGGTCCCTTCCAACCCTAGCCATTCAATGGTTCTATGAATACAGCTCTGCTCATCTTTCCCTTGGAGAAGTCACTCAATTGATTCCCTCTCCTTTATCAGAAGCCAATTATTATAAAACCCTTAGGTAGTTACTTTACAATTTCTTTTTAAATTCTGCTTGAAATTACTTCAACAGAGTTGTACTAATAGTATATATACATCAGCATGTATATATACTTGATGGGAGGCAATGAAGATGAGGAAGTCAAAACTGTTCTCAATAGTGCCCACTGTCAGGACAAGAGCTCTATAGGGCTGTAAGATTTTACTTGTGTGAGTCTACTTGCAGGATTAGAATTACTCCTTTCAAATGTTACTGAGAACTTGCCTGTATTGACCAATGTTTATCTTCTCTCTGTAATTTACTTGAGAACTGACATCAAACGTTGTTATTTTTCAAAAATGTTTGAGCTGCATTAATGAGTGAAACTAATGAAATGCTTGTAGGTCACAACTTCTTGTGTACCCTGGCTGTTTCTTTAAAAAAATGCATCTTGTTAGTATTAAATCTAAAGAATTACTCTGTTGCACATTAGGATGATCCAGTAGTTCTTCAGGGATTTCATCAAAATACTCCTTTACTTTGATAACACTTAGAAATCCATCTTTATTTTCTAGTGTTAGACAAGCTCATATATGTAGAAAGGACATAGTGTTGTTGTGGGGTTTTTTTGAAGTAAGTACTGCATTAGGGGACACCCTTAGTACTGCCGAGTACAAGTCAGTCAATAGGAAAAGTAAGAAGTTTAAGAGACATGGAAAAATGAGAGCAGCTGTATTTTCATCATGGAGTTGAGGGCTATACACACCCTCTCTGTAATATGTTGGCTGTCACTGGTAAATGATATAGATTTACTGTGACCGGCTCAGCTTCTTTTCTTAATTCTGTTTCTCTCCTAACGTGAAAATAACCACCTTGTTTAAATCAAACACTATTCCTCTGTTACCTTTTAATTGCTGTAAGTGATCAAAACACTCATATCACTTATATGACCCTGTATTTTTTAAATAAACCTGTTGTATGCAATGTTAGGAATTAACTAATTTTGAAATGATACTGAAATCTTAAGCATTTTTTAATACGATTTGCTTCCTCATTATATAAAGTAGGAATACTTACCTGGCATGGAACTGGTAGTCCTAAAAGAGGGACTTGAGTATGGCTTGTGGAAATCTAAACCAATTGTGGGTGTTTGCAAGTATCACAACTGCTGTGCACTTATTATGGTATGGGCTACACAGCAGAATAAATTCTGTAACTGTGCTTTTAATGTAGTTGAATAGAGCACTGTGTATCCATTATTGTGTAAACATGAGCATAGCTGATAAGTTGATTTATCAAAAAATATTTTTCAATAGGGACACTTGATAAACTATGCTTTGAAAATCTCACCCAGAACCCAGTTTATTTTTAAAACAAATCTTACCAGACACAGTCATTTTGAAACAGCCAGGAGAGCATCAGCAGTTGCTTGTATGAATGCACGTATGTAAGTTAAATGAGGCAGAGTCATGCTTGGTCCACGTTCAAGCCGGGCCACTCACATTCATTCTGAAAAATGTCAGCTTCTGCTAAACTGACAGAATGTGACTCCTAATTAAAATAGTCCCATGAGATATATAAATAGTCTACGTTGTCTGCCTTCTCTGTTAAGAGTTTAGCATTCTCTAACCTTTGACTCAGCAGTGTGGTCTTTGTGGTATAATAATGCAAACCATAGTTAACAGCTATAAAAGACCATATATATGGAAGACAGAAAGCCAAAACCATTAAAACACAACTTTTTGTTAAACTATGCCACATGTCGCTTCAAAATATTTTTACCTTTAAAAACTTTTGTTCATGTTGCAGATCAATAATTTCACACAGTATGAACATTTTATCAGGAAAAAAATGTTGCATGTTCTGTTGAATTCCTGTGTGTCAGGTTTGTCACGCGTTCACCGTTTCACTGTAACTTTAATTGTAACAGTTGTTAAAAGGAGAGTAGAAGAAATTTTCTGGAAGTAGTGCAACTGAAAAATACCACATTAAGGCAGCTTTAGTTTTATGGATAATTTCCTGGTAATATGGTGCATTTCAGAGACAGCTCATGCCTGATCACACATGATCCCCAGTTAGAGACAAGCACACGTATAACGTAGAATCGTGGAATGCCAGGTTGGAAGGGACCTCAAGGATCATCTGGTCCAGCCTTTCTCGGGAGGAACATGGTTTAGATGAGATGTCCCAGCGCCTTGTCAAGCAGGATCTTAGAAGTGCCCAGCGTCGGGGTTAAAGCATAAGATAAAAGGGATGTTGCTGCACAACTGCTTACAGGATTTGGGCCTAACTTAGTCCAGTTGTTCAGCATTTCCTCTTGAGGGATGGAAAACCGGGATAAGCTGCATCCTTCCAAGAGCATAAACTGAAGTCAAGTTCCAGCACGCGGGGCGAGTGTCGCGCGGCGGGGCTGGGGGCTGGAGCTGCCCGAGCACCGCTG